GAGCTCTTGACATTACTCTCTTATCTTTCTATTGTCAAATTAGGTGTCATTTTTAGTATTGAGCATGTGTGTAAGTCTAAATTTATATATGATGTTTTTCCATAAAAGAAAAATGACCTTGCTAATGGTTATTTATGTTAGTGTCTTTACCTCCACCCATTTAGTGAAGTATTTAACATCTACTAAGATAAGTTATCTTTTTCCAAAGGCTTTTAAGAATGGCCCCAATATATTCATTCCTTATTGTGAGGAAGGCCATAAAAAAGAAATGGTAATTAACTTAGCAGAAGGCTAGTGAGGCAATGGAGAAAATCTCTAGCACTTGTCATACCTCTTCACTATTTTTACAACATCTTTTAAGAGTATAAGCTAATAAAATCATGCTTAAGTTGTTCGGGTTACCAAGACTCCCACCTCTATATAGAGTCCACATATATCTTTATGGATCTCTTTAAGCACATACTCATTTTCCTCATATGATATGCACTTCAATAATAGAGAGGTAGTAAACCTTCTATATAATTCACCATTCTAGAGGCAATACCCTGCAGCTCTTCTAATTGGTATGATGGTTTTGACTTTTTCTGATGGTAGCTCTCCTATAATCAAGTATTGTTTGAGAGGGGTTCTCCAACCATCATGATACTTTTTTTCTTTCATATTCGGTTTTTTATACACCTCAATCTATACCTGATGTGGAAATTTCACCGAATCCCACTAGCAAGTTTAGAAAAAAATTAGCTTGGCTATTATTTTCTTGTGAAATTTAGAGATATAAATCATCTTTCCTTCTTTGTTTTTTGAATTGGTGTGTGAAAGCACCTTCTGTTGATACTTTATCATGGAAGGCTCTTTAGCCCTATATAGCTCCTAACATTATCCCACCACTAATTAAGAATCATTCAACATTATAAATGGTTAAGCATCCAAACTTTTTGCTAAATAAAAGCCCCCTAAGATAGCTTTATATTATGTTATATTGTTAAAGGATGAGAGTTTCAAGGGGATTATATTTTTAAAGGTTCCCTTCTAAAGCTAATAAAAAAAAAAGCCCAACTGCTCTTCTATTCATGTTAAATGCTTTATTAACATGTAACACCCAAGGTCTAGTGGTGAATTGGTCCTTTACTATATTGGTTTCAACCTTTAGAGGAGATGGCTTAGTGAAGAAGCATTCCACAATAAAATCAGTTAAAGTTAGGCCTTTGATAGTTGATTTAGGTTAATATTAGAGTTCATACTCTTCCAGCTCAATAGTTTATTTGATCATATGACTTAACAAGTCAGGTTTATAGAGGATTTGGATCAAAAACATATCAGTCGGCATAATTACTTAATGTTCTTAGAAATCTGATTCCAATTTCCTTTTCAATCTTTATATACCTCATCTCAGCATCATTAAGGACCTTCTTCTTAAAATCTTCAACCTTTATTTCAATCTTCAACTTTTTTTCCGCTTGCTCAATTTTTTCTTTAATGTTTTCTCTTTTTTTTTTTTATGTAGAACTAATGGAAAGATATTTTCGAACTCTAATTTTCCTTAAGTTTCCTAGGTCACCCATAAAATTGCATAAAAGGCATGAATATAAGAATAAAACATATTGAAAAGACAATAAACACTTAATATTCATACCATATAAACCTTTTTTTTCAAAAGTAACCCTTTGGCTAGCCAACAAATATGATACTTATGGTTACTTATAAGTTTTTTTAAATGCTTTTATCTTATATAAACTTAAAGGAGGAGCAATGTTATCTTTACTGGTCACATTCTAAATTGAGGAACATCCTCATACATTATCGAGAGAGGTTGTCAATCTTTCATAGCTAACTACAACCTACTTGTAACTATTTTTTTCACTAATTTACCTTTAAATATATCATTCAAAGGGTTTTAGTTCCTTCTCCTAACAAAAGTGTAAAACTAAGTCACTTATTTTCTGCCTTTCAAAGAACTTGATAAAGTAAAATAATACCTAAATAGTCACAAAGTAGGAATTTGACCTTTATATTTTACATATTTATCAAAAGCTACTAATAACATCTACTTATTAGGATACAACTGACTCACACACAAGTAGTAATATTCAAACATCTTCTTTACAAAGCCATAAAAGGTAATGAATATCAAAATTTAAACATAAATAAAATAGCAGTTATCTCCAATTCTATATTAGGAGCATCATGTTCTCTATTTCTTCTCTCGCGAGAAAAAAGAATCCTAACCATATATCATGCTGCCATTCTTAGATTTATCTTAATAATGTCATTTATAACAACTATACTAGCATAAGAGTCATTAATTTGAAAGGTATGAGTTGCTTAAGATTCAAAAAAATGAATGTGTTCCACCATCTCGAGAAGACCTTAACTCCTTTATCATGACTAGTAATGTGGGAAGGATTAGATCCACCATTTTTGTTAGCCTAAGAATCTCCCTTACTAAAATTATCATTAAGCCAACAAGGACTTTTCTATGACAAATTTGAAAATTAAAAACAAGAAACAAGAGAAAAGGTTTTACTCACTTGACTTTTCAAAGTAGTAATCTTATACTAAAAAACTAAAACTAAAGAGTTTATTTAGAAACTCTTGAAGATTATTGATAAACTATATGCTCTGAATATAAGATAATGACAAGATATTTATATTGGTGTTTGCTAATAAAACAATGCATTCAAACTCACCAAAAAAAATGATCAAGTTTGGTATGACATCATTTATTCAACAAATCTACTTTTACATATCACATGGCAATGCTCATGTCCCTTACTTTTACAGGTCACACCTACTTTTACAGACTCACATGCAATGCTCATATCCCTTACTTTTGCAGGTCACACCTACTTTTACAGACTCACATGTCAAATATTATTTTGTTTAGGGTGGACCATGATTTAACATGCATTATCAGCTATCAAAATTAATTACTCACACTATAGTTCAATATTTACAAGTTAAATTTTTAACAAAATGTTAAAAAATTGATTAGAGATAAATAATAATATGTGTTTTAAAGAAGAAGAAAAAGTGCAGTACAAGTTTGAGTTAAGCTTGTGGGTTGGGTTTAGTCCTTTAATGTTCGGTTGATTTTAGTCAATCTGAACATGACCGAGCCTCTTTTTTTTTTTTTTTTTGTTAAGCTTGTGAGTTGGGTTTAGTCCTTTCATGTTCGGTTGATTTTAGTCAAACTGAACCTGACCGAGCCTTTTTTTTTTTTTTGCTCGAGTTGACTCTTTTGAGCTTGATTTGACCACGGTCAAACTAAGTCCAACGTGGGGTCCAGTTTGAACTGGTCAAACCAAACTCAACAGGTCTTATTTTGGGTGTAGTTTTCCTTTTTTGTGATCGGTTTGACCATCAAACTGAGCTAAACCTAAGGTTATGTTTGACTTAGTCTAACCGAGCCCACTTTTAGCTCGATTTGGCTCATTTTAGACCAGGTTAATTAGACTTTTCGATCATTTTCTTCTCTTTCTTCTAACTTTTTTTCTCTCTCTAGTTTATTATTATTCATATCGACAACCCATATATCGAGGAGGATGTCACACTCTTAAGACTACACCTTTATCTATGCTTCACCTACATTATTCAACTATTATGGTGTGACACATACGTGTGAAAGGTTATACTTTTCTTAGCTATCTATAATTCATAATGAGCTACTCTTGATATTTTTGTTGAGGTAAGCTATATATAAAAAAAGTTAAATGTATAAGAAAGGGATGAATTTTCTCATTCGAAATTATATATCTATAATTAATCTCTTTATATTTTCTTATATATATATATATATATATACACCCTTCAAACACTACACTAACCTCATCATTGGAGTGTTATTTTAGAGGTAACACCCGTATCTCCAACCTAGTATTATCCATAAAGAGAGCTCTATTAGAAATTCTGACTAGTGATGTTCTGATAGTTGTTAATTAAAGGCTAAGCACACTGATACAATATTTAACATGGTTTGGCAAATCGCCTACATTAATGGGAGAGTTTTATATTATTAGAGATAGAAAAAAGATATAATACAAATACATGGAGGAGGAAAATCATATCCACTCAACTCAACTTATATCTCTTATTATTGCACTTGCAGCCTTTCTCTCTTTCTCTCTTCTCACAGTCTCTTATTTTGCTCTCAAATAATACTTCTATTTATAGATAATTCAATGACAAACAAGATGCCATAAATCATGACACAAATAGTGGCAGTACATAAATTGCACTATTTTATTAATGGTTGGTACACCTTATTTGATAATAATATATCTACTATCATAGACTTTTAACAATAACAACCCTCTTTTAAAGTAGCGTTACAAATGTTGTCATATAAGTGACAATATCTCAACAAGCTCACGTCCAAGCAAAGTGTTTTTAAGCTTCATCAGTCAAGCTTCTGATTCCTTGTGGATATAGGGAATTGGCGGCAGCAATGAAATGATGGGGAGTTTTTCAACATTGTGTGTAGTAAAAACGGTCAGTGTCTTTCTCTGTTTTTGTTTTTCTTTTTTAGCAACAGTGAATAACAAATTGATCTTGAGACTTATCTGGTATTCAATTTGATCTTTAGGCACATTATGACCTCTTCTGTTTTCAATTTCTTATACAAGTTTGATGTTCTTTTTAAGTCAACAACTGAGCTTTCTGTTGATGTAATGATTTATGTGTTGCATGTTGGTTAGGTTCAGCCTCTCCGAGACGCTAAGTTCCTGTCACGATATAAGGCTAGAAGGTATTGCCTTTTGTGTTAGTTATATTAGCCTCGAGCAGATGAAATCATTTTGTGCTTTGGGTGGAAGAAGTCGATGATGAACATTTCAGCATGAATTAATTATTTGTGAAAGGTTATAGCATGTCATCCCCACCATGTAGCTTTGTTCTGCTTCTAGTATTTTCTGCTATAGTTTCACGCTACAATTGATGACAACCAGCAGGTTGGGTGTCCTACTGTTTCAAGTTGCGACTTAAAAAACTGAAAATTTGGGAACTTTTCGAAACAAAACTGGACTCTAGCTAATTGAAAGCTTGTTTAGACTTTTATATAATTCACAAATAGGGGATAATTAAGACTTTTATGTTCGAAGTATAAGTCACTGGTCAGATTCCAAAATTTCTCTTCGGCTATTGCAGTCCGTGTATTGTTATTTCTGAATTGAACAGGTTGATGGTCCGGTAGATGTTGCTGAGGCAGCCCTAGGGCATTACTTCAGCGCAGCCAACTGTCAGCCAACGCTGACAGTACTCTGAAGGGAGAGCGGGAATGTGAATGGCGTAGGCCCAGTAAGATGCACAAGGATAAAACCATGCAGATGCATGCCCAAATGTATTTTTCGTTTATGGTATCCCACCCTGCCATACAGCTCTCTTTGGCCGTTTCTCTTGGAATCTTTGCTCTAAAGTTGGTAGTCAGTGACCTGAAAAAGAAAAGGAACTCTGCTAGTCTTTTATTAAATAGGCTAGTTCACAGCTATACAGAGAAAATCATGAGCTCCCCTGTAACTCTCCATGGTGTTTGCATGATCGATAGTATTAGACCAGTGAGGCTGGACAATTTAAGGTTTTCTTTTGAAAACCAAAGAAACACCATAAACGAGAACAATATTAAAACATGATAGCAGTAATCATCCACTGCAACAGGCAGCAGGAATTGAAATGATGCAAGGGTGATTACTTTCAGCTTATAACGCAAGAAATTTGAATTCCTTCACTCACTGATGCTACCATTAACAACATTTTTCAGATGTATTTGCTGAAATCTTTACAGGCTTGCAAGACCAGGTTGTCATCTTCCCATTCATCACGAAATGTCTTTGGGTTGGCCTTCAATCTCTTGGCCGTTTCATAGAACATTTGCACTCTCCATTCTTCAAAGCAAGGACAATAACACAGAGAAGCAACCCAACAATTGTAGTCAATCTGCAAAAATTATAAACCAAATAAAAAGGTATATCAGGTAATAAAAGCATGTGTGAAATGGTTGTTTAAGAAAATGTGCCATGCTTCTGGTTGCAAAACATGCACATAGTATGGACAACCTACAAAATAAATTCCAAGTGTAGTTAAGCCAAAAAACTTGAAGATTGGCAACAAACGCACCATAAAAAAATCACATTGTTATGAAAAACACACAGCAAACTTGTTCTGGCATCACTAGCAATGATATGCTCGATGCAACAAAGAGTTTTGACAAAGGCTTTTGTATTAGTCCCTGTCTTGTTTCCACTAAGCTCAGAACATAGGCTTTTGGTGAGTTAAGCCACTAAGTTTGGAACTTGGTCTTTTGTTCAGTTGATTTGTGTGGCAGACTAAAATGCAAAAAACCTCTAGTTGGAAATGAAGGTTCCAAAATGGGTGGGGATTGCTGGAAAAAAATTGAAGTAGTTGATTTGTGTGGCAGACTAAAATGCAAAAAACCTCTAGTTGGAAATGAAGGTTCCAAAATGGGTGGGGATTGCTGGAAAAAAATTGAAGTATGATTCCACATTTGAGGCAGGGATGATTTATCCTCAAATGGAAAAAAAGAAAAGATCTTCGTTAATTATCATTAACATATTGAGTGAAGACAACACGTGATGGCTGATGATTTTTATTAGTGCAAGGCCTTTAGGATGAGCCCTGTTCAGTTACATAATTTCTAGCAATGAAACAGGTGCCATACTAAAACTATGGTGAAAGAAGGATAAAATTTCTACAGGCACAAACACAAGGCTTACCATTGTGTCCGCCATGTTATGAGTGTGACGCTTAGGCACACCAGAATCTTCAAGTGTCGAGTAGAAGGTGTTAACATCTTCCATCATGTCCTCTTGTGAAGGGAGCACAATTCGATCAGATAGAACACCAGAAATCCACTTGCTTTGAATTTCAAAGATTGGGAAAGGTAAACTCTAGCAAAAATAGGATGCAAAGGATTAATTTCAGCAATAAAGGCTAGCATCCACTAAAAAGAAACGGACAGACATGTATCACAGCAGAGCTCAACCCTGTAGGGTAGTCCGACAAAGGAAAGCTGTGGGGCCAAAATGGGTGGGAAAACATGCTTGTAGAGTGGTCCAACACGATTGTCATCCACAGTCACAATGCCATTGGTTTTGAGGAATGGGAAGCAATACTTGTACCTTGATAAACATGAAAAAATTGCAAATTCAACATTCAGTCATTAACATCATTGCCTAAATATGTCATTCAGAATGGATCTACATGAAGAGAGAGAGAGAGAGAGAGAGAGAGAGAGAAAGTTCCTAAACCATACCAAATCAAAGACAGTTAAAATTACCCAGTGCAATGCAGAATAATATCAGCGAAGATAGTGTTACCATCCTGGAAAGCCACGGAACCATCTTTATGTGCGCTTTTTATCTGCAAAATTTGGGTTGGGGGGGGGGGGGGGGGTGGCGCACTTTAGATGCAGACTTTCTAATGATAGCCCTCTCGGATTCACTCTCAACATGGGTTGGTACTCTTACCATAGAATGTAGCCACATATTATCACATTCAGCCCACTTTTCATATGTATCATCGGCAACTGATCTAGATGCCATGTGCACCTCTTTGGCAATTCCACCAATCTCAAGGGATAAATCAATAGCACTTGCAGAACTGCCAATTAAAATTACAACCTGACATGGAAAAACATCAGCACAAAAGTAAAATGCATTGTAAAAGATAACGGAGTTAAGAATCCACACACAAACAGACAGATATTGACATAAAAATTACAGAAAGCATCTTAAAATGTACAGAAGAAGAATGTCCGCCATGGCCTGCCTTGTGAGACAATTGTGGTTAAGTTTTGAAAGCTCGAGGTACTCCCAAGTTCTGTCATCTAGGAAAAGCGATCAATTTTATCCATTTGATTGCAATAACTCAAGAAAGAAGTTTGGCTTCTAACCAATTCAAACAGGAGAATTACGCCTTAAAAAAAATTAAGTTTTAAAAAAGAACTTCAAGAGACATTCCGTAGAAGCACTCTATAAAGTAAAGAGAAATATAAAACTTTAGACGTACTTTATCCTTGAAGAGTTCAGGAGTACGATAGTTATGGCTATGTATTTGCTTTCCGGGCCACAAGTTGATGCCTGAAAGGAATACAAACTAGAAGATTAAAGACACGGTTAAAACACCATTACAAAACATTTTCGAGGATGCATCGTATATTATTGTAATATATCATGCCAGTTTAGAAAGACAGGAAGATGGATATTATTTCCCCCAAAATAAAAACACCGGTATTGCCCGATATTTTAAACACATAATTCAATTTAATAGAAAATCACCAGGAAAAAATAAATAGCACAAGCTAAAAATACCAGGGATTTCAGCAATACGAGGCTGTGTGAAATGTCCATTGCAAACAACAACAGCATCAAAAACCTCATCTAGCAGATCATCATCACCACCATCAGGTCTCATCCTTTTACACTTCACTTTCAATTTCTCATTATCAACAATCTCCACACTAACCACTTCACACTCAAACCTCACCATTTGTTCAATCCCAAACTCCCTTGCAAAATCTTGCAGATACTTCAACACTTCTGCATGACCCGGGAACCTTCTAGGGTCGCGCCCTTCACCCGCTCGGGTCACGAATGGATAATCCATAAAGCCCATCGATTCTCTCGGCAAGTTGGTCCGGAGGGACTTGTATAAACTGGTGTGGACGATGTGGCGGGTCGGGTCTAGCCCAAGAGGGTCGGTTTCGACCTGTGGATTGTACACCCATGTCCCACCAATTTGGCTATCTTTCTCAAAGACAACCACTTGGTGACCTTCACGCCGGAGCTCACGTGCCGCCACTAAACCGGCGGCGCCGGCTCCGATGACAGCTACGTGGCGAGAGGTGAGCGACGTAGCATTTGATGTTTGCATGTTTGACACTATCCATATCAAGGGACACCGGTAGATATTTATAAAGGTGAAGTGCAAACATTAGTAATTTTTTTTGTGATTTCTTTTTAGATATAATTTTTTAAAAGCATAAATTATATCTTATAAAAGTAAAAAATATATGTTTTTTTATTATGGATTCCATAAAAATAAAAAGCTAACCACACTTTTAAACTACACACCTTTTTAATCTGAAGTTCTAACTAACCAATAAAAACTCACACACCATTAGACACCCACACACACATATATATTACTAATTTTTAATATTAAATAATAGGCGAATCATGAACACCCAAAACAAACCCAATGGATAATACGATTCTGAAAGGATTTATAGAGAATGTGCACACAGGCACATCAGCACACGAATCACACGAGGCCTCCAAATGGAATCACTGGCACAACATCAGCCGGTGGAGTCGCAAACAAATTACAAGAACAAAGGTACTTGGAATCTTCGTTGATTATCATTTCTTCCTAGGTGCCATGGATGAATTATTGTCTGGCTGACATGACAGCTATTATGTGTTAAACTAACGAGGCTGCGAGGGGAAGAGAAAGGCAAGAGCTTCATTTATTCATATATGGATATGGATATGGATATCTTCACTGATTCTTTATTCACGTAAAGAACTGCGAATCATGGAAATACAAGTCCAAATTAACAACGATGATGATTGATCCCACAAATTCAGATGTTGACAATTAGGCCAGCCTAATAATTTATCGTCTTCCTTTCCTATCCTTCGAACACCTCCATTGAGAGATGCAGCTGTTGCTTCAACTTTTCCAAGTGTACTTTGTGAAGTCCCTGTAGGCTTCCAAGACCAGGTCATCATCATCCCATTCATCACGGTATATCTCTGGCCGGAGCCGCCTACTCTTGCTAGCTGCATCATACATTTGCCTTCTCCATTCTTCGATCCCTGGGCAACCGCACTGAGAAGCAAGCCAGTTGTCGTACTCGAACTGCAAAATGAGATCCAAAATCTATTAATGGAAGTAATTCTAAGACATCACGATGAGATGATAGTGTCATAAAGGGAACATTCCTAATGGGTTATGTAACCCTTTTGGTTTAATTCATCACCATGAATAATCAAAAGCTGCAGACGGAGGGATCTAAGGTCACGTTACCAGGAAAAGTGAACACACAAAGCTATGCTATACTACAAATCACCAGATGTACAATCAGAAATGCAAGGATCCCGAAACTCAGAAGAAAAAAAAATGGAATATAAGGATCCATGATATATATATATACACACACACACATGCCTTGGAGGTCGTAAAAGTGGATAGACAATTGAGATATGAATTATGACATAAATAAAGAGGACCGGAAGAACTACTAACTTAAAAGAAAATATCTGCTTTTACCTATATTTCTTCTTTTTTTCCCTAGACTATATTAGGATCAAAAGACCGGAGTTGGACTCCGTCAAAATCATTCCTGACTCCATTGATGAAATCCTATAAAAACTCTCCTTCATTTTCACAAAGTTCAAGATTAACATTTTTACACGAGGTGTTTTTAGAAATAGATAAGCAATTTACCCTTTTTTATCAATTGGGTGTGGTGTTTAAATACTATGTTCAATCATGCGTATTGAAGCTACGCATTAGATGTTAGATGGAAAATAAATCAGCACGAGTTAAGGCTCAACACGGTAGTAATGGCTGAAAAGTGCAGAAAGTATAGATCATATTCAACAACAGACCAATTACAATTGCCATTGAGATTTCTGTTATCATTGGTAAATTGACTAATAAAGTGAAGATTTGATGACTTCTCCATCCTTATCATTCATCTAACAAACTCAAAGAGGATTATTTACATGTATAACCTTCAAACTATAAACCCTGATGACCATTGGACTTTACTGATGCATTCTGATGAACAAGCTAACAAATTGATATGGAAAATGGGATACAAAGTACACCATACAGAGGCATACCTGACAACCACCCAAATTATGAGTGTAGTGTTTGGGTATGTTGGAAGCTTCTAGTGTCTCATAGAAGGCTTTAACATCTTCCATCATCTCCTCAGGAGACGGAAGTGCAATATGACCTGATAAAACACCAGCAATCCACTTGGTTTGAAGTTCAAACAACGGAAAAGGGACAACCTAGCATCAACCATGGACAAATTATTTTAACATTGCAATTTAATGTTCAGTCAAAATAAAGGAATAAAACATTAACAGAGTTGAACCTTCCACGGTAACCCAACAAATGAAAGCCATGGGGCCAGAACTGGAGGAAAAACCTGCTTGTACAGGGGGCCCACACGATTTTCATCCACGGTCACAATGGCATTGGTGTCTAGAAAAGGGAAGTGATACTTGTACCTTACAGGCAAGAACAATTGTAACAAAACATTCAGCCATCATTTATTTTCTACGAGCAGCAGTATGCATAATTTAGCATTGAAATATTTGAGAAGTACCCAGTGCAATGTAGAATAATGTCAGCAACGACAACTCTCCCATTTCTGAAGACCACAGAACCGTCATCATGCACACTTTCTATCTGCATCATTTTAATAAATACAAGCATCTTAGAAGAAGCCCTTCTCGCAGATCAGAGTCAAAGAACTTCCTCCACGAAATTCTCATGACAGTTGCCCAATCGAAATCTAGGTGAGTTCTTTTACCATAGAATGAAGCCACATATTATCATATCCAGGCTGCTCTCGATATGTTTCGTCCACAACTGATCTTGAGGTAACATGGACCTCTTTAGCAACTCTGGCAATTTCTCTGGATATATCATCAGAACTAGCTGAACTTCCAATCAAAATTGCCACCTGTTCCAACAGGGAAAAAAAAAAAAACTGATCAGCCAGGAAATATAAATAGATAAAGGAGGTTCCTACAAGAAGCAGGATCAAGAATGATCACGCACAACACAACAACCTAATAAACAAAGGAAATGATCACAAACCCAAGACAAAATTGAAGAGCTACAGATTTCACAGCAAACTATTAATAAACGATTGTGCATCTTTCACAAAACTGATAATGTGCATTTGCACAGGAGTGGGGCAAGATCATGTTAACAATTTATCGTAATCTAATCTTCCCAAGTGCTTCAGGTTTCTTTACATCAGTTGTTGTACTCCTTTCATTCTTGTTTATCTCATAAAGGTGGTGCCATGACAATAGTACTCATACTTTGTATCTAATCAAGATCATTTATACTTTCATAAGAACAAATAAAAAAGAAAAAAAAAAAACTATCACCCAATTATGGTTCCAACAAGACAGTGTCCTAAGAGGAAAATTCAGGAAGAAATCTTGCCATCAATATTTTTGCATGAAGCTATCCTCAAGACTCACTCAACCATCAACCCTTTTGGTGCAAGCTCAAGACCTTTATCATTACAACAGGACTTTCATTTCAAAAGAACGAATACAGTAGTTAGAAAATCTAGCACCTAACCAATAACATTTCCTCCTTTGTGCTAATATTTCCATATCTCAACACACTTACATATATAAACTAAGCATTCAGATAGTTCTCGACCACGAAACTATAGATTCATGCACACAAGCCGAATGCTATTAGAAAATATGTGCAGTATAGAGTAACAGAAAAGCGAGTTCATGAAATGATACTAGAAACTTCAGACATACTTGATCTTGAAAGCCCTCAGGAGTACGATAATTGTGGCTATGCATCTGTTTTCCTGGCCATGAACTGATCCCTGAAAATAAGACAAGTAAAAAGATCACTCTATTACTTCGTTTCTAGAATTCCACCTACACAAAGCATGAAACTTGACAGAGCATAGAATCCAAAACAAACACTCGCAGAAAGTGGTTTCAATCCAATCAAACCAGTTTAATGATCAAGAACAACCCATAATTCCACAGTAAAAAAAAAACACCTGTCAACCCAAACATGAGCATTCTTCTTTGAATTATAATAACCTCGATCGACAAAACAACCAAAACCATAACCAATCCTAAATAATATAAATTCCAAGAGAAGAAATAAAAAAACTACCTGGTATTGAAGCAATACGAGGTTCAGTGTAATGTCCATTACAGATAACAACAGCATCATAAATCTCCTCGTCAACATCAAATCCACAACTAACCTCCCTATCATCATCACTTATTTTCCTTTTAGACCTCACAATCCACTTTCCAATATTATCCTCAACAGGCCCCACATGAACCACTTCAGTATCAAATCTCACCATTTCTTCAATCCTAAACTCGCCTGCAAAATCCTGCAAATACAACACCACCTCTCGATGGCCCGGAAACCTTCTCTGGTCTCTCTTTTTATCATTTTTTGCTATAAAGGGATAATCTTTGAAACCCATTACTTCTCTTGGGAGGTTGGTCCGGAGGGAGCTATAGAGGCTCGAGTGAATTATGCGTCGATTCGGGTCGAGGCTTAACGGGTCGGGCTCGACTTGGGGATTGTACATCCATGTGCCACCAACTTGGCTGTCTCTTTCAAAGACTACAACATCATGACCCTCTCTACGTAGCTCACGGGCACTTACGAGGCCGGCGGCTCCGGCACCGATCACCGCCACGTGGCGGGAGATTGGTGGAGGAAGTTGAGGTGGTGGCATTGATAAATGTTTGATTGGCGTTGTTGTGGTGACCCATCGAAGAGAGTTCGGTTTTTTGGACGCTTGAGAAATGCTAGCGTCAGCAGGGTCCCCATCCATTCCCCGCACGTGACCATCTGTTGTTACTATCTTTTCCCGTTCGATGTTGTGACCTGTGAGTGGCGACTGAACCAGTTCACGGGACTGATATATATATATATATATGGTTTAATAATATTCATACTTCATCTATTATTAACTCTAAAAAAAATCATTCTTTCAAGTTAATTCAAGTTGTTATATATGTAACTCTTTATTTCTCATTTATCCTAAAAATCTACTAAATTTTAGTTCTGCACAAGAACATAACTTCTATACCAAAATGTTTTCTGAATACTTTGAAAGTATAGTAAAGAAGATTTCCTAGAGTACTTTCATCTATCTCAATTGTTTTATGTT